CTCCCCGAGACCCCTCTGCAAGGGGATCTCCAGTGGCCTACTAATGGGCTTTGGATCTCCACTCCGCACTCCCCCCATCATTCACTATGGTAATATTTTTTGTTCTGATGATGTAAGGAAAGATATTTCTAACATGAAAAAGAATATTGTTGACCAGACTTAAACTTGGTGCTCCAAGACGTGAATACAACATACCGACATGAAGCAGGGAACCAATAGAGAAGTCTGAGGGGCTGGCCCCAAGCCAACTAAGTGGACAGTCCCCCACCCCCCCAGAAGAATTTACTTCAGAGGACAGCATTGAAGTTACAGCTCAGGGAGAGGGACATATTACATGGGAACAAATGAAGGGGGAGGAAGAGAGAGTGGAGCATATCCTGGCCCACCAAGCCTTGAGGACGATATCCCCACTCTGAGCAGCCAATGCACAGAGAGGACCATAGGGTCAGTCCTACCAAAAGACACGATGTCCCTCACTGACCCATAGCACTATCCCCATACAATACAATAACCTATGAACAACACTGGAGACACAGTGTGGGAATTGCTCCTGAGATGAAACACTAAGGGTGTGCAACAAACAGCAAGAGGAGTAGAGCAAGGAAATTCCCGGGGATGAACAAAAACAGACTGTGGGGCCAGGGCATGGCGCCCCATCAGACTCATTGGAAAACACTCCTAAAGGTCAACAAACAGACCGTGAACTATTTACAGGCTTTTCTTCTTTTTGTCATTGGTTTTGCTGTTGTTTTCTTTTCTTTTGTTACTTTGTTTTGCTCTATCTTGTTTTTGTGCATATTGTCTCTGCATGTATATCTAGATAAGATAGGTGGGACAAACTATCCAGAGGAGAAAACAACAGGACCGATGGTTCTGGGGGGGACACAGGAGAGGGAGAGGCAGGGGAAAGGAAGTGGGTGTTAACAAATCCAAGGACAAGGGAAAAACAGGTGATCTAAAATCAATGGCAAGGAGGGTGTAGGATGTCTGGTAGGGCTTGATCAATGGCAATGTAACCGAGAGGAATTACTGAAACTCAAATGAAGGCTGAACATGAATCTGGGACAAGAGGAAAGTAAAAGGAAATAGAGGAAAGAACTAGGAGGCAAAGGGCATT